ATAATATATTGATATTATTGTCCAAACATCGTTATAATCATCACGCCGGACGCCGAACGAAAATAATAGAGAACATCAGCAATGTTATTTCGTTAAGTTTAAAATTTGGATTATTCTCGATGAAATAGAAAAATAAATTAGTTACTAGTTTAAGTACTGCTATAATAAGACACAACTACGCGAGTAATAACTAACTATTTACAGGTAACAACAAAATGTACTAAAATACTTTATTATAATGTTTAATTTAATTACGTTTAAAACATTGGCACCTATTTGATATAAATACTATGAAACATAAATTATAAGTATTTAATCAACGCTAAATTGATAACTCAAGAGGATTGGTGTCATTGGTGAGTTCTGTCTTATGTTTATTACATTTTACACTATTGCATGACGTGTTATTTATATGGAAAAACATAAAGGAATAATAATTATTATTCAGACGGGTTTTTTATTTTCTAATCGGAACGGCCGATTCAATGAAACGATAAGCATTCTGAAAACTGATTTGAATTCGTAGTAATAGTCTACTTTAAGCCTTGAAAGTAGATAAACTTTCCCATATTTTTGGTTTTATCTTAGATAAATCTGAGTAATAATTCAGAGGTGTCTTAAAGAGTAAAGTAGTTACACCCTGGGCTAAACTAGATTCCTTTAATATTTAATTATATTGATTATAAGTTAAAATACATAAGTAAAATGCCTATGAGGCGATGACTGAACGTTATCGAGGAATTTTATTGATTCGGATTTCGGATATGGATTCATGCTAGCTATTTTTGRACTGTTTTCTCATCTGACGAAGGCGAGCGTCCTATTGCGTCGAGACCTATACCTATGTAAGAATATAAAAATTGATACTTATATCATTATTATTTTAATTAAATAGAAGTTTTGATGAACGAAATAAATTTATGAAAAATGAGGAATTRTCAGTCTCAATTCAAGCATCTCAAAAAATTCAAATCCTTACCGCCTACAATTATATATCGAACTCTATCGATCGGTAGGTATTACACCTTAGAATTATTATTTGTTTTTTGAACAAGCCTTAGTGACTATAGTTACCTAGCCAAATATTGTTTRATCTTGAGCTTGCAATATACTGAGCAGAGGCCAGACAGCAAATCACCAACTCCGATCAACTTAATAACGATTAAAAAAAAATTAATTATYTATTTGKTATCGTCATTTGTTAGTGTTTACGGTGAAATAATCGATCGTGTGACGGTCGTATTTTTGAACGAGCTCTCTACGCTCTATTGCAAACTCGCAACGGTCATTCGATGTTATTATTGATAACATTACCTACCATTTTCGTTATTTTTACAAAATGTATTATTGTGTATCATAAAGATCGAAGCAGTTAGCGTTTAACACTATGCCACTATTATATAATATAATATGCAATATAAATGTTCTCCGTTTTCCTCAGCTCTCCTCCGTTTACCGCGGCGGCCGGCGACAAGCCGACTGACGACTAGCGAATAGTGATTACGGTCGTCTACATTTCTACAAGACTACAACTCGTCTCGCGGGTATCGATGGCAGCGAGGAAATCGATTCAGTTGGCCTCGTTACACACACTCACACATACGCATACACGTACGCACACACCAGCTACGGTGCGCGCGCGCACACACACACTCTCACACTCACACTCGTGCCGCCCGACGGACGACGGTTCCGTCATTCATTCCAAATTCCGATTCCGCACTCGGCGGATGCCGTACGGTCACGATCGTGTTTGCTATTCAGTGATAATACTATTCTGATAAAATAAKTCACCCGTCTTCGTCGTCGGTCGTTGTTAACCGCCGACCCGGCGAACAGGGAGTCCGAAAATAATACGGTTAACGTTCGTTGTCTCGGTTTTTATTCTCCATACTCTTCGTTTTCTGGGTACGTATCAATAAATACAATATCTTCTACTAATAATTATCTCACAGCTGCTGTCATTGTTTTACCGATCATCGTACCCATGAGACGTAACAAACAACACGCTTGTGTGTGCAGTCTTTTGTCTCGACTCTGTCCGTTTTTTAAAATCTTCATTGGTGCTCTATTTGTTTTCCAGTCGTACGTATCCGTTTGTGTGCGCACTGTATGGAAGCAGGACCACCTATCGTCCAACATGGCTGGAGAACCGGTGCTAGTGCACGTCTATGATATGGTATGTGTTTTTGATTGTTACCAATAACTACCACAACTGTGTGGGTCCAATGTTGTCTTATCAAATGAACCCCATGACACAATTTCTCCCTATGCCCAAATATCTTAGATTTTCAACTCTTCTAACTGTTACTTCGAATCCAACTACATGACRTATTGTATTGCCCTTGTGTTGTGTATAATGCGATTAGATAAGTAATGTATATTTTTAAATATTTTCATAGTATTACATTATGATACCAAATTTTTTAATTCAATTAGGTACTGTTTGATTTTCRTAAACATTATTTAGGTAGCTGGTTAAGAAGTATAATTTTACAATCCAATTAAACAAAATYACTAAAAATTATTTCATTGTTATCAATAGTTATAATTTATTACAATTATCTACCTTAATAAGCATTCATTAGAATATTGTAGGAATAAACCTATTTTATGTATATTTGATTTTTATTATCTACCTTAATTTCTTAGCTATGGTTAGTACTGTTTTTTTTTTTTTTAATAATCTTTTTATAAGTAGATGATAGGTAACAATATTATATTTATATTGATCCATTATTACTTTTCATTTTTGTATTTTGCTTTAAATATATCGAACTTATAAATTTATTCTTTCTAATATTTTAAATATTGAATAAATTAATAATAATATTTATTATAATCTTATTTTGAAGATTATGAATATTGAGACTATTGGTTTACCATATCTGAATGATAACAACCTTTTTAAAATAAATGTAAGTTAATTTAATTAATATGCCTACTTATTATTAATCATTATTATAAGTATGCTTGTTAAGTTCCAATACAATTCAGTTCTTTTAAAATAATAAATTCATGATTATACCTATGAGTAGGTAATTGGTTATATCTATAATCAGAGCTTTAAATTAATTGTTTCAATTCAATCATGATGCAATAGGTATATTAAATAATTGAAGGTATTGATTAATATTTAATGGCCTGCTTTGATGTTTACCTAGGTTAATATTTATAATGTTAATATTTTTATAGTAAAGCCAGTTACAGAAATACATAAATTATTAGGAAGCATAATATTTTTTACAATTTCTAAGTTATTTTTATTAAGATTAATTAATATTTTATGCTTATAATTTATTTTATTTTTCTTATTTTTTTTTAAGTATTGGATCAATGAATATACTACACACATGGGTCTTGGTGTATTCCATTCTGGCATTGAAGTGTATGGACAAGGTGAATATTATTTCAGTCATATCTTACATTTGAAGTTTTAATTTGTAACTTATATTACAGAATATGGATATGGAGGTCACGATAGATCAGATACTGGAATTTTTGATATGATTCCAAAAGATGTTTATGAATTAGGAGACCATTATAGATACAGGTAAAAAAAAATGTTTATTGATATATGTAAACACTRGGTAATTAATAGTTAGCATTTATTACCAACCAATAGAATAATATGCAAATTAATGTTATTTATCTCTATTGTGACAAACTAACAAGCACTATTGCAAGTTCCCCTACTGTAATACTATAATGTTTTTATACAAATTAGGTTAAACCACTAATTTTACAAATATATACTCATAAAGTATGTACAACAAAAATTTAAGACCACAATATAGCTTATTTGAATACCAAAATTGTATAATATTCCCATATATTTTGAATCATTGAAGCATAAGTATTTCAAATTTACTGTAAAAGTTTATAGTGTACTGTCTGAAACTTTGCTAAAAAATTCAAAAAGTTTTTTTAAATTACTTACTAACAAATGTCCAGACTGAMAAAAATCAAACTACATTTTTTTTTATATTAAAATCTATTTTAAAGTAGTCCAGTCAATTGGCCTTTTGAACTGTAAACAATTATAATTCCTTATCAGTTGTAGGTATTGTACAATTTATTTTATTTTTTCAAGAATATTCTGCTGAACATTCTTACTTTTTTTTTTTATTGTTAACAGAATAAATTTGATTTTTGTTATTTTTTCATGCTTAAGGCATATTATAGCGCTTATCTTTCAGTTGTTTTAAACGCTATAAAATCTGAGTCTTGATCGTAATATTTCAAGTACTTTTAAATATATATTTATTTATTAGGAGTTCTGATAAAAAAAAAAAAAATATCACCCCATGATATAGAATATATTAAAAGCAGGTCACCATTACTCATTAATGCTGTTTACTAATACAACGTCTTTGACCTGTTTGTTATGTTTAAAGCTGAACGCGTCTTCAACCTCAGCAGATATCCGTTACATACACTTAATTTATAAAAAATTATAAAATTATTACACAAGGAAATCAAATTGACACAAAATTTAATGAAAACAATGGCATATAATGTAATATTTTATAACAGAATAACAATATTCAATAAAACAAATACTTACATAAATTATATCATACAATATAATTCTATTAGTTTAAATGTTTCTAGCTATTGGCTTTTTCGATTTTTTTTTAACTAATCATTTGATGATATTTTCAGTTYTAGCACGAAGTTTCATGAAATAATTTTATTACAGAAACTATATCTAGTAAAAATTTTATGTATATCCGATATTCTTATTTATACTTTATACTATATTTTAAAGTTTTATTCATTGACTTGCATGACAATCAAGTGCATTCCTAATTAATCATTTTAGAGGATGTCAACTCACTTTTTGTTTTCCCTCTGTCCCACGCTCAACATAGACAAAATGCATTTCTATAGAATCGTTTTTTCTGTTTTATGTAATCTTAGAGTAAAGGGTGATTTACCCACACCAAAAAAAAAAATAAAGAATAATATTTTTGAGGGAATGACAATTTAAATATCGTTTAAACTTACTTTTTTTTTTGTTTATTTTGAAAGTCAAATACAAAATCAAATAACAATAAATTATGATGTTGATATGTCATACCCTCTAAAATATTATTCTACATATTTTTTTGTGATGGGTGATTTTATTCTAAGATTACTTAAAAACATAGAAAAAACAATTCTATTTAAATGCGTTTTGTTTATGTTGAGCGTGGGCCAAAGAGAGAAAACAAAGAGTATGCTGACAATAATAATAATAATAATAAGTATTTTTGTTTTTCCTTTTATAAAATATATTATTTTAATTATAATTATGATAGTGAAAACATTTTAATAGTGTTAAATTATAT